GCCACTATCCAGTGGGCTTAAAACTCATAGTTTTAATGCGTTATCCCAATTTAGGTAATTCAACCTCCATCCACAGGCATTCAAGCAGTAATATCACGTAAGCAACTAGCCTCATGGTAATCATGCTATCATGGCAACACTCACACGCATGCAAGGATGCTAAAGCATAAATACTTACATCGTACTCCGTGCCAAAACAAAGAACTCGTTAGCAATCAATGCATGATCCAAGTCCATGTTTAAATGCCTAATGCAACGCACACGGAATGTCACTAGAGTAGGCTCAGCTAATTGGTTGATGATTTTTAGAGACTTCCTATCAAAACAAAACTAATAAGTATATAGATGTATATATCTGTATATAAATCGAGTGAGATAGATGGAGAGAGAATTACCTTCAATTTGTATCAAAACCCTAGCACTGTGATTGCTCAGTCCATAATGAGAGAAATTAGGAACCTGACTTGTAGTGGGTTTCTATCTTTAATCTTGTGCCAAACTTTTAAGGTTTTCCAATATAATGTCTTTTTTTTTTAATGGGTTCAATAATGTTTTTTTTTTTTTTTGCATATATTATATCAACAATAACATTTTTTAATTGCCATTAATCCTTAATTTGTGTAATTTTTCACAGCATTTATAAAAGGTTATTAAAAAGCAAAACAGCCCCTTTTTTGGACCAAAACCAGCTCCTTTAGCCTCTGAAAATGGCCTCCAAGATCCTTAGAGTGATGGTGGAGGTGTTAGGATAGGAGGTGGTGTGTAATGGAGCAAGAACAATGGAGTTTGGAGCTTGGGATGTAGAGATATGGAAGGAAGTGTATGTTTTTTTGTCTTAGACAAATTCCTTCAACCCCTTTGAATGGAAAGATAGGTTCTCTATTTATAGAGAAGATGGAGGCTTGAAGCTTCTAAGAGAAGCTAAGCAAAAAAAGGGTCAAGGGGGTCAAGGGGGTCAAGCTTCTCTTAGAAGCTTGGAGCAAAAGGGCCAAGCTTCTTGGAGAAGCTAGGCAAAGGGGTCAAGCTTCTTGGAGAAGCTAGACAAGGGTTCAAGCTTCTCTTAGAAGCTTGGAGCAAAGGGTTCAAGCTTCTCTTGGAAGCTTTGAGCAAAAGGGCCAAGCTTCTTTTAGAAGCTTGGATCAAAAGGGCCAAGCTTCTTAGAGAAGCTAGGCAAAGGGGCAAGAAGTTCAAGCTTCTTCAAGAAGCTTTAAAAAAAAGGGTCAAGAGGTTCAAGCTTCTTGGAGAAGCTAAAAAAGGGTTCAAAAGGGTCATGCTTCTTGGAGAAGCTTTAAAAGGGTCAAAAGGTTCAAGCTTCTTGGAGAAGCTAAAAAAAAGGGTCAAGCTTCTTGGAGAAGCTTTAAAAAAAGGTCAAGCTTCTTGGAGAAGCTAAAAAAGGGTCAAGCTTCTTGGAGAAGCTAAAAAAGGGTTCAAAAGGGTCAAGCTCCCTCAAGAAAAGGTCTCGGTTAGGAGAAGTAGTCGATTGATCAAAAAAAGTGGCCGGCCGACCAAACACAATGCCGACCGGCTATAAATAGTGCCGACCGGCAATATATATTGCCGGTGGCAACAAAACACTAGCCGGTGGCTCCTGGCCATGGCCGGTGATGTGTGGGGATGCCTCACAAGGCATTCCCTGCCCCTCCAAGGCAAAACACAAGTGTTTGGTGCAAAACCAGACACTAAACAGTCGAGTTCGGAGATCTTGAGGCAAAGCGCATAGCCGAGACCTCCGGGAACTCCAAACGAACACAAACATGGATGATCGCCGGGTGTTCAAACGGTGACGTCCAAGTCTTGAGGACGGTCAAAAATGGGGTGTCTACACTAGGTCTCAATCATTTTCTTCTATATAAGAAAGATGTCTAATATTTCATCTTTATGCTTCATTGTGTAAACCCATACCCTTCTTGAGAAATCATCAATGAACGACACAAAGTAGTGTTTACCTCCCAAAAATGCATTTTTAGAAGGACCCCATACATCGGTGTGAACGTAGTCTAGAATCCCTTTAATACGATGAATAGCAGTACCAAACTTGATTCTTGTTTGTTTGCCTAGTACACAATGCTCGCAGAACTCAAGCTTTCCTATCTTGGCGCCTTTGAACAGGCCTTGCTTTACTAACCCTTGTAAAGCCTTTTCTCTAGTATGCCCTAAGCGCATGTGCCAAAGTCTGGAAGTGTCTGACGCATCATTCTTTGAGCTAGTGGAGATAGCCACTCTCCCTATGACTGTAGAGCCGTCTAGGAAATATAAATTTCCCTTTCGAGTACCCTTCATTGCAACAAATGTTCCTCTAATAACTTTGAGGACTCCATCTTCCACAGTTACTCTGTAACCTTTGGAGTCTAAAACTCCCACTGAGATAAGATTTTTTTGTCAAATCTGGTACATACCGAATATCTTCAAAATTCTGACTGTTCTATCATGCATCTTCAACTGAATTGTCCCAATCTCCTTTGTTCGGCAAGCTTGGTCTAGCACAACTCCTCCATCGAACTCTCATAAGTTCGAGAACCACTGCTTGTTAGGACACATGTGGTAGGAACATCCAGAATCTAAAATCCATTCATCATAATGGCCAAGTGTTGAAACTGTGAAGGTTGATCCTTCACCATTATCTCCATCCCGTGTAACGTTTACCTTTTCCTTTTTCTTGTCTTTATTGGGACAATCTTTTGCCCAATGCCCCTTTTGGCGACAAGAAGCACACTCGTCTTTTGTAAGACATCTTCTATTTGATGATCTCCCTCTAGATTTTGAGTGAGACTTTCCCCACCCTGTATATCTTCTGTTATTCTTCCTACCTCTGACTGTCAATGCCTTTGATGATGAGTCCCTATTTGTAGACTTATCTTTCCTTCTGAACTCATTATTTACCAATGCGTTTAAAACATCAACATACTTGATCTTTTCTTTCCTATATAGTAAAGTGGTGGTGAGATGGTCATATGTGTCGGGCAAGGAATTTAACAATAACAATACTTTATCTTCATCATCGATTTGAACATCCAGTTTTTTCAAATCGGCAAGAATTTTGTTGAAATTGTTCAGGTGTTTGTTCGTCGAAATACCTTTCTTATAGTCGAAACAAAACAACCTCTTCTTCAAGTAGAGCCGATTCTCAATGCTCTTTGTCATGAACTTGTCTTCCAGCGTCTTCCAAAGTTCCTTTGCAATATCATATTCTGTGATGGCATACTTCTCCTCTTTTGCAAGGCAAAGTCGGATGGAACTGCAAGCTAGGAGATTTAATTTCTTCTATTCTATCTTGTCCAAGTCATCTAGTTTGTCTCCCAGAGTAAAGTGCAGGTTCATCTGGACAAGCATATCTTTAACTTTGCATCTCTACATGCCGAAGTTGCTGCTTCCATCGAACTTTTCTACTTCAAAATTAGCGTAGCACACAGGGGTCCAACGTCCAGAGCTGCTTGTAGCCGCGTGGCTGCTTGTAGACTCGGCTGATCTCCTCTCTATAGATTCTGCCATTGAGACCTTTTAAAAAATCTCCACCACAACAATAGCGGATGCTTGAAATGCCCGAAACACGACAACTTCTAAACTCCCAAAACCTTCACTGAAAATTCAAATCTGAATCTCAAAAAACAGAATCCGCGGTTGCATCCAAAATGGTTGATTTAGCTAGAAAAGCACTTTGTCCACCTCTCTAGGGACCTCAATGAAATTTCTCCAAATCCAAGGGCCAAATTGTAATTTTCCAAAACTCCAGGGACCTTACTGCAATTAATAAAAGTTTCAAGGGCTAAATTGTAATTTTAATAATATTAAGCACTGAAATACAATTTACCAAACTTTAGGGGCCTCCCTGTAATTTTAGAAATTTCGGCTGACTGGGATGATGACGTGGCAAATGCCTTGGCGTGGCAAACATGTGTAATGATGTGGTGATAATATGTCGGGTGAGCTGTCGATGACGTGGCCCAACACCTAGCAATGACTTTGCAGCCACATAGTTCAGACGTGGCAGTGACTGGGCTGACACCTGGTGCTAATGTGGCGTGTTGCAAAAATAATTTGCAATATTGTTGCCCCAAGGATTTGAACCTTGGCCAATGAAGAGCAATGCTCAACCTTAACCACTCAGACAGAGCTCCACTTGGTGTTGGTTTTCCTTCAAATATATATTTGATGTATATATTTTGGCACCACAAACTCGTCTTCTTGTTCTCGCCGCGTGTGGGTCTTCTGGTTTAGAGTTGACTTTACGCACTAACCTTTGACCGGAGCATGTGGATCACCCCGACGTCCATTTTGGCTGTTCTTTATGGGTTTGGACTTCTCTCGTTGAGACGGACCTCCTGGTATATTCAGAAGTTGATTTCGACAACTTTGAATTTTTCAATTTACAAAAAATAGATTTGCGAATGCTCTATTTTGGTACAACAATGTTCTGATACCAATTTGTTGTGCCTAGGAGGCAGAAAACAATCACACACAAGCATACAAGCAAGAACACACAAAGATTTACGTTGTTTGGCAAATCGCCTACATCCATGGGCAGCGAATTTCACTATATGAAGAGAAGTACAAAATTACAACAATGGAGGAGGAGGAGACACAAAACTCTCACTCAATTCACACTCACTCACTCAGTTGCTTACACTTTGCTTACACTCTCTGATTTCACCACATAAAACTATACCCATTTATAGATGCAATGGGAGAGCCAAGCCACCGACAACATTAAAGGCATCCACTAACAAGATCAGCCACCCTACTATGAGTAGCTCGGCTGAATCTCTAGCTTCTTTATTTGTGCACACAATCAGCAGCCATTATTGACAAAGAAAATCTGAGCCAAATCTTCAACAAGTAGATATGGCAAATAGTTGTGGGAATAGATTTTAAATTACAATCATTGAGATGTAGTCGTTCCAAAGACTCCAACCCTAACAAAGCTTCTAGTTCCAAAGTTGTGTAACTCTCTCTTCGTCTTTGTAAAATTGAAGGCAAGCAGGAGTAACTCCATAAATAAGATGCTATTCCTTTACACCCTTCCAAGGACAATGTTTAAGTTTCTTCAGAAGTCCAATGGAGGAAAGGAGTTGTCTAATAGCAGTTTGATCTAAATGATGCTCCTTTAAACAGTCCAGAGCACCCATGTCTTGCGGCAGTTTGTCAAGTTTGGAGCACCCAGAGACGTTTAGACTACTAAGAGCTTTCAACTGACAAATGTTGTTTGGAATACTTCTCAATTTTTTGCAATTGCTTAGACTCAATAAAACAAGATTGGTAAGATGTCCAATTGAAGGTGGAAGTTCACTTACAGCAATCCCATCTAAATAAAGCTCTGATAAACATTTCATATATCCAAAATTGATTGAAATGTTTTCAACCTTTGAGCACGCAGAGACATTAAGAACTTCAAGAGTTTCCAATTGAATGTCACTTGGAAGACTCTTGAGATTTTTACAGTCCTTCAAGTTCAGGCAAATGAGTTTTCTAAGAATTCCAATGGATGGATCAAGATTAACCAAACCTGTACAACCTTCAAGAATCAGTCTTTCCAGATTTAGGAATGTCGTGAAGTCTGGGCACTTGGCCAGATATGTCGAGTGACTAAGATTCATGATCCTTAACATGTCTAGATGCTATTGAAGAAAAAAAAAAAGATAGACATTGCAGAAAATTTATTGTTTCAAGGGCACTGCATCTTATTTAAAGTAATTAAATAGAATGTATATTCATACCATTGTTCTTTCCCAAAGTTGTTCAATGCTGCTATAGGTTAAGTGAAGTTCAACAAGATGCACTGGTTGAAATGATGAAGGCGCGCATTTCATAGGGTATCCGCACCAATCAAGATACCTTAACTTGTTAGAAAGATATTTGAGGTCTTCTGTGAGGTGCATACAACAAATTTTGAGAATTCTCAAGTTTGACATCTTTGCAAAAGCTTTAGGCCTCAACTTCAACACAATGCCCATTGGATCTCGACTAAGGTCGGGATATTCCACAACTACGCCTTCCACTTTTTTTGTTCCGTAATAACCACAAGCGAATAACATCAGCAATATTTTAAAAGGCTCACAAAACTATGTAGAATTAGTTTTGTTAAATAAATAAGTTTAGAGTGTTCATACTTCCCTATATGATCTTTTACCATATTCTTCACCAGCACGTGTGTCGAATCTTCATAAAGCCACAACCTACTACGCTGCCCAGGCTCTTTAGGTGATTCTTGACGAACAATATTCCACCCTAGTTCTTGTATCAAATTATGCATCATCATTTTATTGTCTGAGATAGTTACAAAAGACTTTTCAACAAGAATTTTTATTCCAATAATTGGGTGGAAGTCACAACTTTCTAATATTTTTGTTACATCATTTTTGTCTTTCCCTTTGAAAAAGCATGCAATATCTAAGAATATTTCCTTATTTTTCAATTGTAATGCATCGTAACTTACTTTCAGTACTTTTTGCACTTCATTCAGAGGGCTTTCCTTCAATCTGTTTAATGTACTTTCCCATTCATCTTTGTTTCGGCCACAAAGAAAAGAACCCAAAACTTTGAGAGCTAAAGGAACTCCTTCAGCGTACTTTACTGCACAATGTTCAAGTTCTCCACAGCCTCCCATTTGTTGGTGTTTCCTGAAGGCTTTCGATTTAAAGAGTTCTATAGCTTTATCTTCTCCTAATTCCTCAACCCTATAAATATGTGCTATGCCATATCTAATTAGTGTATGTTGATTTCTAGTTGTTATAACGATTCTACTCCCAAAACTGAACCAATCAAGCTCTGCTACCACTTTTGCAAGTTCTGTTGATTCATCCACATCATCAAGAACAATAAGAACCTTTTTACGGCATACCATGTTCCTTATCGTACTTAAGGCACTACTAACATTTCCTACTTTCAAATCTTTCTCCATTAAGATTTCGAAAATGAGTTGTTCTTGCAGAGTTTTTAGACTACCTTTTTCTAAAACTTCTCTAACATTTTCAATGAAGCTACAACCTTCAAATTGGCAAGAGATATGGGCATAAGTAGCACTTGCAAGAGTTGTCTTACCTATTCCACCCATCCCCCATATCCCCACAACACGAGCATCATCCATCCCTAATCCTAGCAATTCTATCATTTCCTCCCAACTAGGTCTTCAGAAACACTTGAATATGTATGGTTTAATTTTCTAAAAAGTATCCCCACAAGTTCCTGGATGAACGTTGATTCAGACGTGCAGATTTAGGCCAATAATAAAAGAAATTTTTGAATCAAAACTCAAAAGAGCTATAAAAACGTACACTAACATTATTTTAATTGTGATTAATTTTGCTTATTGCAAGGGATGAAGATAATTATGGAACAGGACATATAAATGTATAGAGACATACAGGTAAATAATTGAACTAAAATATATAAAATGTTAATTCAAAACGTAATTATTTTAGCAGAAAATTTAAAAAGAAAAAAAAAAACCCTCAAAGTTTGACATTTCTAACAAAGTAAATCTTGAGTTTTTAATTTTGTCAATTTAAATCCTAAACTTTTAACGAGAATGATTTAGATTAAAAATAAATTAAAATATTATAATTTAAATTCTTGAGTTTTTTTTAAAAAATTTATAAATATCCCTTAATTTTATCTTACATCACACAGCCAACTGGTAGTAAATCATAGGGAGAAAAAAATAAAAAATAAAAAGAAAGAGAAAAACATAATATTTTAATTTAATTTAAGTAATTAATGATCGTGCGATGCACGAGAATTATTTTTAAAATAAAAAAATGATTTTGAGTAGTAATATTTTATGTGTAGAAAATTTTAATACTTGAAACCTAAATACAAATAGATTTGCTAATGGCTGAGGAAAATTTTTGTCAATGTGTGATTCTATGTAAAACACTCATACAAACAATTTCTTTCAAAGTTATATATAAAAAAAATGTGTATTCTCAACCTTAAATCAAATCCTTATTTGTGTTAATCAAGTTTACTAGAAATCGTGAATTTCACTTATATCAAATATTTTTTCTGAAAAAAAATAAAAACAACAAAAAAATTCTATAATATACAAGTTATGATTTAGTTATAACTCATGGTATATTATATTAGGGAAAATTAGTCTAAGGTCTCTCTCCCATTTTTAGTAATGGAAGAGATCCACAATATTATTGTATGATGTCTAAAGTCCCTCAACCCCACACCCATATATCATAGAGAAATTTTGTTACCGGTAGAGTCTCGAAGATGAAAATGATCTACGTAGCTTCACAGCAATTGATGAGGAAGGCTTCAAAGCATTCTTCTTGCTCAAGTTCGACGCCAATGGGAAGTCCATCGCCATCAACTTGTTTTCACCGCCTCCTTTCAAGGATTCAACACCTTCGCAAACAAATCACAAGCATTTATATCAAATGAGTAACAAAGTCAAAGATATCATTTTCGATATGGACAAATTCACTAGAATATATTTCAAAAAGATCGAAAATACAAGTTGTGAACTGAGCAAGTTACAGAGAAACTGCGAGAAAACAATGAGAAAATCAAAGGAACGAAATGGAAAAAGAGCAGAGTAAAGTATAGAAGGAAACATAGCATGAATTTTGGCGAATTTGAAGTAAAAACACACCTTCAAAGTCTCAAATAGACTTCTTGATTTTAGTAGCATAGCCCTCGCAATGCATGTCGACCTTCAAAACAACAGTGAGGATAGGGGTGTAAATTTGGCCTGGCCTAGCTCGGTACTGCCCACTTGGGCCCTGGCCTGAGCCAGCCCATGTTGGGTCTCGCAGGCTTTCGCTAAAATTCGGGCCGCGCCGAGTCGAGTCGAGTCGGCCCACGAGCTAGAAAATTAGGCCTAGAGCCAAGGGTATTCGGCCCTTGGGTGGGCGTGAACAATTTTTTTCTTTTTTATATTTTTTTTACCAAAATTTTATTATTTTTCACTAAAAAAGATACTGGGCCTCCGGCAGGCCCAGTTTTGGGCCAGGCCTTGAATGGGTCTTAAGCGAGTTGATGGGCCGGGCCAAGCGGGCTAGGCTCACGAGCTAGGCCGAGCTTCAAAATGATGGCCCTAGCCCTGGGTCTCAGGCTGGGGTCGGGCCTAGACCCAAACGGGCCAAGCCCATCCTGGACAGCCAACGGGCTTCAGGCCGCCCACGAGCCGTGGGCCATTTTTACACTCCTAAGTGAGAACACCGTCGTCCTTCTTTTCTCCATCGCTCTTCTGCTGCTAATCATCGCTCTTCTGCTTACCTTGGTTGCCTTGGTTCTTGCTCTTCTTCTGCAACCATACATCCAAAGACAAAAATATCAAAGAAAGAGAGAGTTTAGGCCAAGCTGAGACTTGAACTTACTTGCCCATCGCTCAAGTTCGACGCCAATGGAGAGTGGAAAGTTCGAAAAAAATTTGCAGAGGATTTCTCTAAAGAGTGAGAAGTCCAGAGAAATTTGGAGAGTGGAAGAGTGGGAAATCTAGAGAAATTTGGAGATAATTTATCTGATTGAAAATCTTAATACCAAAGACCCTAAAAAAAATTCCCATTATATTATGATATGTGTTATAAAAAAATAATATTAATTTAAATTTAAATTATTTATTTTAATAATCTTAATCTTATCGTTCTATAAAAGTATCATTTGAATACTTATATATAATAAATTTAGTTAAATTGATAATTTTAGTTCTATTGTATTATAAAAGTGTAATTATCATATAATGATTTTATATGATATATATTAAATTAAAAGATAGTAAAACAAACAGTCATTTTGATATTAAAAATAATAGTTCAATTAGAAAGAGAATTAGTAATAAGTGATTTTAATTATTTAATTTAATTTTTATTTTTATATTGATTTGGAAAATAAAAATATGTAGAAATAAAACTATACACAATTTATTTAAAAGGTTAAATGTAAATATGTTGTGATTGAATTAAGAAGAAAATACTTAGGCCCCGTTTAGGAAGTTTGCTAAGTTGGCCTAACTAAAATAGTTGTGTTTAAAAAGAATGTTAGATTTTTTTTATAGTTGGATGTGATATTTGTGAGAGAAAAAATAAAATAATTATGGATTTGATGTGACATTTTGTCTTATTGGCTATTTTAACCTCTCTTTTTTTAGTGTTATTTTAGCCCAAAAAATCAAAAAAAAACCTCTTCCTAAACAACCCCCATAAATTAATTAGATAGAGTATTGATTTTTTCTTTAATATTTTTTTTTGAAGTATTCATACATATTGTATATCAGTATATAAATTTTAAATTAAATATAAACGTTTTGTAATAAATAATTTGATGTTAAATAAAAAATTAAATATAAATTACTATTAACACATCAATAAGATAGATATAAAATATAAAAAAAAATTAATTTGATTAGTGCGATACATATAATTAAACACATTATTTATTTATTTATTTATCAAAATATTTTTTTATAAATATTATAATAATTAAATTAAAATATCAATGTAAAAAAAAAATTTGACAATGATAAAACTAAATACATGATGAAAAATTTATGAAAAATAAGTATTTCTCAAATATAATTTATGTAAAATTAGTTATTATAATTGAAATTGAATTTATATAAAACTTTATATGTCAAAAAAAATCATATTAATGTGATTTATTTTATTTTTTTAAATAAACCTTTTCAAATATGTCACATAATAAAGGAAAAAAACATATATATATATATATATATATGATTACCTAACAAATGAATCACTAGGTAAGGCCATCCAGATAAATTGGCAACTTGATCCAAAGCATTCCTCCAACCCTCACCTCTGATTAGTGCTAAACTGTGATTGAGCATGATAAGTAACTGATTAAGCTGAAATTCTGAACTGATTGCATAGTATGTTGCTTTAATTGCATTTCTATCTGTTTGTCATTTAATGACCTGTTCATGTTTTAATTTCGAATTGCGAATTGGAAGCCTTATCGGTGACCGAATCAGAAATTGACTAGTGTTATATGCTAATTAGGATTTATGTGATTTTATGGTAGGTTTAATTAAAATTTGATTTGGAATGATTAAATTAGATTAATCAATGCTAAATTAATTGAACCTTTTAGTATTTTTAGTTTTGTTTTAATTTGGATACAATTGTATAACTTTTAGATATTTTTGTGCAATAAAAGTGTGACAACCCTCACCTTTGATTAGTGTTAAACTGTGATTGAGCATGATAAGTAACTGATTAAGCTGAAATTCTGAACTGATTGCATGAGTATGTTGCTTTAATTACATTTCTATCTGTTTGTCATTTAATGATCTGTTCATGTTTTAATTTCGAATTGCGAATTGGAAACCTTATCGGTGACCGAATCAGAAATTGACTAGTGTTATATGCTAATTAGGATTTATGTGATTTTATGGTATGTTTAATTAAAATTTGATTTGGAATGATTAAATTAGATTAAACAATGCTAAATTAATTGAACCTAGACTAATTGCCTTATTGCCATTGAGTGGACAATTCTAGGCTAACTCCTCCCCACCTCATGCACATTTCACATATCATCTCTTCAGCCATTTTCTTAGACCAAAACCGAGAGAGAGAGGGAGAATAGGAGAAAATTGATTTAACAAGAAATTTGGCTTGGAAAATTAGAGGAATTGGAGAAGATTGCAAAATTAGACTCCCACGCTTGGAATTCAAGACCTAAGGTAGGAAATTCGTCCTCTTGAACATGAATTTGAGTTGTTACATGCATGGTTCATGGAAAGAATAGTGATTTGAGTCAAGAATTAGCTTAATGTGTTAACTTAAGGGTCCATTCATGCATGCATGTCCATATCATGGAATTTTGAGGTTGTTTTCATGAAAATTCTTATATGCATGTTCACATTTTGGTTGTAGTTCAAGAATTCACCATGTTTTGAAGTTCAACTTTGCATTTGAGCATGTTTTGGAGCACTGGGATTCATAAGAACTCATGCATGTTGTGTTCTTGCATTGTTCTTCAAGTTTCTTTGAAATTGGTGTTCAATTGGCTTACCTTTGGGCTTGATTTCATAAATTGATCTTTGAAACATGTTGTATTCTGGGTTTCTAAGTGTTTTCCAGAAAATTAGCCCAAAAAAATCGAATTTGAAGCTTTAGAAGTTGAGTTTTGTGTTTGAGGATCAATCTGGAAATTCCAGATTTTGGATCCACGCTTGAGCGGAGGACTTCACACTCGAGCGTACACTCTGAGTACATGCACTTTCGCTCGAGCGTAGAAAGTCACGCTTGAGCGTGAGATGCATATGCCCAGAATTTCGTGTGTTTTGCAGTCCGCTCGAGCAAGAGAATTCACACTTGAGCGAGGGTCTGAGTCTCACGCTCGAGCGGAGGTCAAGCGTCCGTCGAGCGTGAATATCATGCAATCAGTACTTTTCATGAGTTTGCAGCCCGCTCGAGCGAAGGAAGTCATGCTTGAGCGAAGCTTCATTGTCTGCATTTCCGCTCAAGCGTAAAAAGCCATGCTCGAGCGCGAACCCCTCTTTCAGCAAATTTTGAAGAGTGTTTTAAAATACATCTTTGCATCCTCATTCCATCCTAGTCATTCCTAGGCCATGTTTAAGGCATCTTAATGAGGATAATGTTATAGAACCACACCAAGTCAAGTTAAGGGGCTAAGCTATTAATCCTCAGAGTGTAATTTAGTGTGTGTTCGTTCTGCAACTGTGTAGGGTTGGCACCCGAGGACGCTGACTAGCCTGTCTATAGCCCATCACTCTATGAGTAACGATGTTGTAAAGATATTTTCAATTATGATTATTTTCTGAATGATCAACTGGACTACTTTCTGAAGTAACATTGTTTACTGAATGAATGAATGTCTGTCCTATTTTATGAACTGCACTCGTGGCATCCATAGCAACTTACTGTTACTACTACTGTACTGTTACTGCTACTGTTATAGAGATCTCTATTAGTTCCAATGCTTGGAACTACTACTGTTTACTGTTATGATGGCCATTAACTGACTATTCAATCTGTTAAGACCTACTGTACTGTTTTGTTATTGGATGTACCTCATATGACTACTATGGTTTCTAAATAACTGTTATGGCATGAAATATCAGCCACTGATTGAATAATTGAGCTACAGATGCAATTGACTGTTTTAATCACTGAAAGGACATTCATTCTTAACCCCTTTATGCATTGTAATTCACTGGGCTTTAGCTCACTGTTTATGTTTATGTGTAGGTGTCCAGGCACCGGACCGGGGCTAGGAGCGTCAGGTTAAGCTCCTGTTTTGTTAAGCCAACCGTTGTGCCTCACTTCAAGGTTCCAAGCCTGTCTAAGCTAAGGCTGCTTTTGGGGTGTTTCAGATTCACCCTTTTTGTCTCTATTATGTATTGATTGAATAAGACTTTTGACTGTACAGTTATGGTGTAGGGATTTGGTCTCTAACCTGCATGTTATGTATATCTGATATGTATATATATGCTTTTGGTAATGAATGTTCTTTTCTCATTCAGATTTTCACAGCTCATTGAACATCTTTTACTTACTGTTTGGCTTCCGCCAACCCTTTACTCTATATTGCTGTCATTACTGTTAAGCAGGCCTTCGGTAATCACGGATTATTAGCCAATTATGTTACTAAACCCATAGAGGTGGGTTTGGATCGTGACAGAGTGGTATCAGAGCGATATCAAAGCACGAGTTATACCGCACACACGAGTCCAAAGGAGCTATAGGATGTCCTAGAAAAGTAATTAGGGCATTGCATGAGCATGAAAGTATTGTGGCCATGATATGAATATATGTGCTAATGTGCTAATGTGCTTAAGTCAGCAACTTCCTATGTTTATTATTACCATATTGCCTATAGTGAAATGGAGAATACAAGAAAGGCCGATGAATCTGAATCATCTGAGGCAAGAATGGCAAGGTTAGAAAGAACGATTGAACTGTTGACTGAGGCCCTGAGGCAATAACAAAACCAACAGCCCCCACCTCCTCCAGTACAGCCGGAACCAAATGTTAATGATGATATAATTGCTTTGACACAGAAGTTCAGCAAAATGAAACCACCATCGTTCCAAGGAGGCCTTGAACCACTAAAGGCCAAAGCATGGGTTCTAGAAACTGAAAAATTGTTCGAAGTGTTTCCTTGTTCGGAGGCACACAAGGTATTACTGGCCACCTTCATTTTACAGGAAGAGGCGAGACGGTGGTGGATGCTTGTTCGTGACACCAGTAATGCTATTACCTGGGCTCAGTTTAAGGAAGCTTTCTTTGAGAAATACTTTCCCCAATGTGTCCGATATCGCAAGGTAACTGAATTTGAATAGTTGAAACAAGGTACCATGTCAGTAGCAGAGTATGAATCTAAATTCACTGAACTCGCCGGATATGCACCACACATGGTGAATACTGATTATAAAAAGGCTAGGAAGTTTGAAGGCGGGCTCAATGTAGAAATACTTGATCGAATCAATGTCTTGAAACTGCTTAAATATGTGGATGTTCTTGACCGAGCAAT